TTAGCATATTGGTAATTATATCATTATCAAAAAATAGAGAGAATGTTCAAAAATACATCATTACATGCAGAATTAAAATGGCTACATTTTATTATAAAAAATGTTATTAATTACTAACTAAAGAAATGCTCTGTTATAAATTTTGATCTTCAAACGTATAGTGACGGGAACAGTTTAGAGCATCTGTATTACATAAGCTTTCTTCTCAATGTTAATAGATGGCAGAAATCTAAAAAAAAACATTTGCGTAGCTGGAATGGTAGTCTATCCGAATTGGTAGGCCTAAATACTCTAGCACAACTTCTTGGATGAGGATCCGTAGAAACTAAGACACCCAAAACTAGTTCTCTGTGTTTTATTCGAAACTTTTGTGAAAAATTCTATTTGATAGAACAAATAAGTTTGATCAAGATAAGACGTCTCCGATCTCTCTATGACCTCCGCTCGTCGAGTTGCATTTTATTCACAGAAGGTTTCAAAGTGTCAAACATGGGAAAAATATTAAAGTTTTCAAGAAAAAGAAGAGAAAAATGCTTCCTGGACCTTCTGTAAATTTAATGCACTGCGATAAAGAAATGTCATAGAAAGATCGAAGACATTTCATCTTGCTCCCAATCATTTGCTCTATAAAATAAAATCTTTTCCTAAAAGCTTCGAATGGAAGCCAGAAAGCTGATTTTAGGGATATTGTTTTTCTACAAAACATCATGCAAGAAGTTTTGCCGAAGTCTTTGGACCTTTCAATTATAATAGAGAATTCTTTCAACTGCACACGTGTTTTTTTTCCGAGTCTTGCTAGTTATCACTCTTGAGAATAAAGGTTAAAAAATACAACTATTCTAAACTCATGTTCCTTCAGAACTAAATAAGACAAGTCTGACTTGATTTGACTTGAAGAAAATTTTTGATATTCCTCACTTGACTTGACTTTACTTGAGGAGAATCTTTCATAGTTCTGAGTTGACTGTTCAGATCTGTGTCTGCCACTCTATTGTTAGAAAAAGTATCAAAAACTGAATAACACTGTATGTTTGTTTTGAATAAGACTTCATAATAAGATTTTTTTAAACACTATGTAAAATTTAATTAGTACATTATTAATGCTCAAGAATGGTAAGTTGTAAACATGGACTTAAGATCTTTACAAGATCATGAATTTTGTACAGCACAGCTTGTTTTGTCAAATTAGATCCTGCACTCCTCTATGTAATGTATTCATCATCAGATATAATACTCTGAAAATTTTAAGGTATGGAGCGAGCAAAAATAGCTGAAAATCATCATTGACACTAGTGTTCAAAAATAAGAGTTGCATTAAATGATGAACACATTGTACAGAAGAGTGTCAAATCTTATTGCATTAAAACAAAGTTTGCACTACAAAACGCAGTATTTTTTTAAAATTCACAACTCTATGCTTAAAATACACTTCTCTTGATGATTAATAAAATATTCATTAAATTTTAAGTAGTGTCAAAAAAACCCTATTCGAAAGCGTTATTGTATAATAAAAATGCAGTGTCATTCAGTTTTCAATGTTCTTTTGAATGGAATAGATAAAGACCAAAATCTATAATAAAACATTTCTCTAACTTGTAATAAATAGTATTAATTTATTATAAAAAGTAATATTTTTTAAAATTGTTTCTGTTTTTCGCTAACAAAAAACAATCGCCAAAAAACTAGAAGTGCCTTATATTTTTGTCTGTTACAGAAAATAATGCAAATGTGAAGTTTTTCGAAGGAATATATACTAAAAACTTGATATCTTACAACTAACAACCTATTAATACGAACTCTTTATAAGATAATAATAATTTATTAGGATCTATATAATGCGCATAGGTTAAACATAAAAGAAAATTTGTATCCGACAATATTCTCTTGTTAATGTAATCTATTATTTTTTCATCTCTAATTTCATAGAGAAAAGTTAAGAATAATATTCTCCTTTCAGTATAACAAAGGCATATGAAGAAATATCATCACTACATGTTGATAAAAGGTGAATTGGAAGGTAAAGAACGGTTAAAGATGAGTCGTATTATTGATACAATAAATAAACATTCTTCTTTTTCTTTTTGCTCGGATCATCTTGAGATTGTGTTGAAGTCAAAAAAATGTTATGCTAACTCTACAGCACTCCTAACATAATTAGATGTCACTTGAGAAAACTTGTAGATTCTAGAATGTCTTAGCTTAACTAGATTTCAATTGAAAACAGTAGAGAACTCATGAACTTCTTATCGTTCACAAGAATACAAAGATGTACTTGTGTAAAATTAAGAAAAATTACATATGCTCCTTTTGTTTTCCGCATGATCACTTTCGAATAGGATGAATATTAAAGAAAAACAAGAAATAATAAAGATTGTTCTTCTTCTAATTTTTTTCTATAAGTATATAATATAGAAAAAAAGAAGAAGAAAAATACTCTTTAATCTAGTTTTATAACCGATACTCCATATTCAAATTATATATTTAGATTTAACCATAACATAAAGAGAATATTTGTGTCTACAATTCATGATGAATAAAAATTATTTCGATGAAAATCATTCGAAAAACAATGATGAAAATCAAACACAGTCTAATGATTATCCAGAATTTTTATTACCTAAAACTGTTCGTTTTTGGTTACTTATGATTTTTGAAGTTCCATCCGTGGCCTGTTCAATGATACTTCTTTATTATTTATTGATTGATCGTCGTTTACGACATTCATTAGGCAATCATGTTATTATAGTTCTACTTATTATTGGACTTTTTTCTCAATTAATTGATATACCATTTTATCTTAATTATTTACGTATAAATTATGTTTGGCCATCAACGACAATCAGTTGTCTTATATGGTGGTTTGCAGCAACAGGTATTTCTAATCTAACAAATATTGTTATGGCATGGGCATCAATTGAACGACATATTTTAGTATTTCATGAACGATGGTTATCGACAAAGAAAAAACGTTTGTTTATTCATTATTTTCCACTTTTAACAATAGTTCTCTATGGTTTCATTTATTATATTATTATTCTTTCAATATTTTCATGTGAGAATATGTATGCATATGAATTAGATTGGTGTCTTTATCCATGTTATTATAACAGTGCCAGTCTGGCTATGTATGATACAATAGCTAATTCTATCATTCCAACACCAATTATTACTATATTTAGTATTGCATTAATTATTCGTGTTATTAAACAAAAGCATACTCTTCATAGACGTTTTCACTGGCGTAAATATCGACGAATGGCTATACAAATTTTATCAATAACAGCATTGTTTCTTCTTTTTAATTTTCCTATGACCAGTCTTGTTTTAGCTCATGTATGCGGTTTACCAAATGGTTCAGCAGGACAATTTGAATTTTATGCTTATTATCTATACCATTTTGTTTCACTTTTAATGCCTTTTGTTTGTCTTGGTTCATTACCTGAAATTAGAAAGAAAATGAAACGATTACCTAGGCTTCAAAGAATGATCAATGTAATTACACCGAGACATGCTTCGTTACGTTAATTAATATATTTGAAAAAACTTTTGATTTTTATGTAACCTGTCATTTCCTGTAGAAAAAAAAGCATTCTTTGTAAATAAAAGAATATATTCATTAAAAGTTAAAAATAAAGTCATCTATCATCATGATTATATTCATCAGAAGACTCAAACTTAGTGACCTATAATTATAGTTTAATAGCGAAATCTAGGATATTAATAATCAGATGTTGAAAAAGTACAACAAAAGATTATTCTTCAATCGTAACTAATTATTTTGAGATTTGGGTAAAAAAAGAACATCTATAAATAAAAAACAACGACAAAAAAAAACTGACTTTTCATTGCGAATTGAAATGCGAGTATCTTACACTTGGTAACTAAGTTGATGTTTTATTTCATCTAACTAGTCAGATACTGTCTTTACTTATTGCAAATCAGTATGATTGACATATGTGACAGTAAACAAGTCTATTAAAAACACTTTTCGTCAGCGAGTATCATCGGACTTGTATCCATACAGCAAGACTTCTTATGCATAATGTCATGCAAAACGATGTCTCTTTATCAATGTCTTCAATTGAAATTATAGAAGAATATAAAATAACTACAGATACGCGAGATCGACTTTAGCTCTAGCCTCACTCCAGGGACTACGAGGGAAAATTGTAGTTTTTCTATGTTTTTTAGGAATTTATGTTATTAATCACGTAAAATAGACGCTAAATTCAGGAGAGATGATCAAAACAAACATCATCTGTCGGCTGAATTAATCAAAGTACAAAGATTCAAGATATTTGTTAGATATAATACTAATATATTCCTAAATAGTTTTCCTAAAGCCGGGTTGGATACAGACCAGAATTAACAGGATTATGAACTAGATCTCTGAAAAAATTTATAGAGATCAGATTAAAACTGTTTGATTCAACGATTCTCTGTGTATATGATACAAAAGCGAAACGAAAAATCTGAAATATCTTTGTTTGTCTCTGAAATAAAAATAACGATAAGCAACTACTTCGCACGTCAAGCAATACAAGCAGTTTCTGATGAAAACTATTGGAAATTCACGAATCCATATGCCGAAATCATTGATATTGGTTCTATTTTCATATCTTATTATAAATCATAAAACACTGTTGTAAAAAGATTTATACTTCAAATCATCTACTTTTAGTTAAGATGCTTTAAATACAAGAAAAAAGATAATTTTGATTTCAATAGATGTCGTTCTCTATCATACAAACTTTTCCCTTAAAAACTTTTAAGATTCAAATTTCTTGTGGTATTTTGCTTCAAAAGCTTCTTTCAACTTCTTAAATAGATAATTCTTTTTACTTAGTGAAATTTTATTATAAAGGCATACTTCGCATTGTTCATTGGTTTATGCAATCATTTAATATTATTCACTATTATTCAATCATTTATTTATTTTATTCGAACATCGAAAAACCAAAATTCGTTGGTGTTTTAGTGTTTATTTCGAACTTGTAACAATGACAACAACATCTAGTCGAAGTCCTGGATGTTTTCGTGCTTATTCAAATGAACAAAAAACTTTACGTGCTAAACTCGATCAATTACTTAAATGGACACGAGATTTAAAAAGTAATATTATGAAACTATCATGTAAAGCTTTACAAGCAAATAATAATAATATGATCAATCGTCAAACAATTGATCAAATTCATGATGATTTAGATGAATATAAACGAAAATTTGATCGTGAACTTGGTCGTATACATGATATCTGTGATGCATTAACAAATAATCCATCAATAAATGGTGATACAGAAAATCTTCGTGATGAAATTCTTGAAGCATTACGCCGTTCACCAACATACTCATCACTTGAACAACATATCTATGATGACAAACGACCACGAATTCGTGTAAAACCACGTGAAAGAATCCATCCAGGACAAAGACAAGCACCACGCACACCAGCTCTATCAACTGACACAATAAAACGTAAAGCAACACAGCCAATAGCTTTACAAGTATTAGATACTTCAATTATACCTGGTGCTAAACGACGATCGCAAATCGATGCATTTAAACGTTCAAGATCATTTACAAATATTGAGCATACTGAAACACAATTAGGTATGGATTATGTTGAAGAAGATGGAAGTGATCTTTCATGGAAACCATTTGGACCAAAACGAACAATTTCACAAGTTAGTTTAACATCAACGAATCATGAACAATCAAATGATGAACAACCATCTACAAAGTATAATTTTCTCTCTCTTTCTTTCTTTCTTTTTGAAAAAAAAAAATAATAACAAATAAAATTTTTAGTTCAACTACAACAAATCAATCAGTACCAGCAACATCTACAGAAAAATCTAAACCATCTGTATATTTTGATAATAATAATAATAATAATAATAATGATTCATCAGATGAAGAATTTGATATTGCATGGGAACGTCGTGCGAAACAAAAAGCTCGAAAAGAAGCAGCTACAGCACCAACTACATCCGTTGAAACACCAGCAAAACGTACTGTTCGTTTTTCACCTTCTACATATGATGAACCAATTGAACTTATTGAACTTGATCTTGATGAAACAACACAAGATGGATTACAACAAACAAAAGATCAAAATAATAATAATGACAAACAACAAACTGAAATTGTTAGTTTAGTTGATGATGATGAAACAACAATGCCAGCAACAGATACACAAAGTCAAATAGCAATGGTAAATATATTCTCCAGTATGAGTCATAAATAATACTTTGATAAAAAACTCAAGTATGTCCACTTTAATTTATTCAAATGAGCTAATTTTTAATTACTAATAGAAGTTTTTTTTTTTATTCATACAAATAATGCAAACAAATACAATTATTATCGGCCATACAAAAGAGATTTGACATCTTGTCAAATAAGAAAAATACATGTGTATCGTTCTCAAGGGAGAACATTTTCTATTGATTAATTGTTTTCTCACCAAAAGCTAATGAATTATAGGTTATCTACTATTTATATGTTTTATGATGAGATTTAAAGATATTACATAGCTTTTTCTGAGTGTTCATACTGAAGCAATTAAAATTTGTTTTTTTTGATAAGTCTCAAGGTTTTTTGTTAGCTTTTAGCAATGATGAGTTTATTTGACATGCATCACTAAGTATGATACGTTAATACAACACTTGAACATGATAACACAAAGTGGAATGAAAATGTAGTTGAACTGAAGACTTATCCACATCCATTCTACTGTCTACTATCGACAAAATGCTTGCAAATTGTATATGTGACGGTTACTTTCATGGATAATCAACAACAAAAACCGCAAGGCTCTTAGAAGATTTATTTTATTCTTTGTAGAGATCGTTGTGCTGATCCTTTCCTTAAAAAAATGCTCAAATTTATCCAAGAAATCAGGGTGTTAGGGTTAAAATACTCAACAACTTCCGCTATTTCTGTCTGTTGCTTAGCCGTAGTTACCATTTTCAAGTGTTCTGGGCCAAGCACTACGGTTTATTGAATAAACTCGAACATTTTTTAAAATCAAAATGGTCAACGCAACGAGTTCTACGGGATTCTACAGACAAAAAAAGTCTTTTAAAAATTTTCGGTTTTTTTTGCGGTTAACTATCTATGAAAGTATCCATCAAAAATACGATTTATAAGGAATTTGTCGTTAGTAACATAATCGAGAAAAGTATCCCGAAATATATTTCATACTGATGTTTCAGTCAAATTTCAAATGACAACTAAAGAAATTACGATTGGAAAATAGTAGACTTCAAGTTGGAAATCTTCGCTGCTTGTCTCTTCGACATATTCTATTTTTGAATCAATTATCATACAAATAAAAAGGAACGAAATGTACTTTTTTATTTTTCTAGACCTCAACGGCACCATCTTCATCTCAACAAGCCAATAATCAAGATGATGATAGTCAAATAATTGATGATAGTGATGATGAAATAATTGCTTTAAGTGATGATGAAATTCCTAAAAAATCAAATATTTCATCGAAAAAACCTCTTTGGACTTCATCTGAAATTCAAATAACAAGTGGAAGTTCTCAATCACAATCATTACATAATCCATATCGTGTTGGTATTGCTGATCCAAGTTTACGATCAATATTTTTACCGCCACCCAGTTCTCAACCCATGTCAGCATCAAATAGTGGAAATAGGCGAGCTCAAGGTAGTAATCGAAAAACATCGCCAACAAAACGATCTAATAATTCCAAATAACAATAATAATAATAATTATTATTATTTTTTTGTTCAGATATTTTGAAAATTTTCTTTCTTTTTTTTTTGTAACAGGGATAATTTCCTCAGGTTAATTAACTTTTTATTTCTTTTTCTTCCTTTTGTTTTTGATAAACATAATAGTTTACGAGTTAGTTTTTAGTATGAAAATAAATAATGATAATTTAATATGGATTATTGAATTTTATGATTTATATGAAGTCAAATAATATAATATTTTAGTTTTTCTTGATACCTTTCTATTGCATACATCAGTAAAGAATGTAGTAGATGTTTATTTTTGCTTTTTAAATCTTTATGTTTGAAATAGATATCAGCTCATCAAAGTTACAGTTCTATAAAAAGCAATGTTTTAATTCTCAAATGATTCATATTGTTGATTCCATATTACAATCAATTTATTCGTTTCTTTTTAGGTTAATTTTATCCATATAGTTGAACCATAATAAAATACATCATAGGATGATTCTTTTATTCTATCTATTTTGAGACACATTTTTTTCATCTTACTTTTACTTAATCATCCAGATATGCAATAACAAAGTCATTCATGTTTTATAATGAGATATTATTATAAACTTAAAACTCCTTTCAGATCGTATGTCACAAAAAGCTCTATGTTTTAAAATAACTCACTTCAGTGAAATGACTATGATTCCTTAGTTTATTTTATCAAAGTTCAAACTCAACAAATTCCACTGAATGAATAATGAATATGACTAGAGAATTTTTTTCTTTCAACTACTATTATGTCTTATCAATAATGTTCATCATTCAGATTATCTAAGCGTAAAATTTAACAAAATAACATCTGATATTGTTATCACTTTCAGTTATCTGTTATCGAAAAAAACAAATAGAATTTTTTTTCTTTTGCTATAAATCATTGAGAACAAGCTGACTATGCGTAATTCATTGTTGAAATAATGTAGAATGATAAAAAGAAAAATTATGATTTCAACCATTGTCGATGATGACGAGACTTTTGAGTTCATTTATTATTTTTCTTAATAGTGTGTTTCAGGTAAAGAATGTTTAGTAACACTACAAGTTTCAATAATATGAGTTCATTCAACAATGATATGAATGTACTACATTCTTCAATAAAATTTTGGATTTATCTTGTTATTCTTGTTCCATCAATAATTTGTTCATTGTTTGTTCTCTATTATCTTCTTCTCGATAAAAATTTACGTCGTGGTCTTAACAATCATACAATTATTGTTCTTATTTTTATTTGTCTTATTTGCCAAGTGACTATTTATCCATGGATGCTTTATTTCTATAAAAATGGTAATCATTGGCATAGAACATTAACTTTGTGTAGAATTTGGGGATTTATTGACTGGGGATTCTATATAACTCAAGCAATAATCTTCGCTTGGACTTCCATTGAAAGACATATTCTTATTTTTCATGATCTATGGGTTGCAACAAGAAAGAAACGTTTTTTTATTCATTATCTTCCTTTAATATTACTTATGCTGTATTGTCTTATGTTTTATAGTCTTGTCTATTTCTTTCCATTTTGTAAACATGCCGTTCGATATAATGCTGCACTATGTATTGATAATTGTTTATATGATAATTATGCTTTTTACATATGGGAAACTATAGTTCATCAAATATTACCAAACTTAATGATTGTAATAGCTAGTATTGCTTTACTTTCGCGTATTCTTAGACAAAAACATCGTGTACATCAACGAATTCAATGGCGAAAACATCGAAAAATGGCAATTCAATTATTATCAATATCATTTCTTTATTTGATATTTTCATTTCCAAATACAATCATGATTCTCATGTATCTATGTGGTTTAACATATAATATTGGTCGTAATGTTAAAATATATGCAGAATTCTTTAGTTATTTAGTTATACTTTTTTTTCCTTTTGTTTGTATCTTGTCATTACCGGAACTTCGAAAAAAAATTAAAAGAATTATATTATTACGACCAACAGCAACACCTGTTTATCCTAAAACATTCACTATACGATGCAACATAAATACACAACACATTAGTATATTAGAAAATAAAGTTCAATAAAACATTTTTTTGTTGTATTTAAATGAAAATAAAATATTATTAATCATAAATTGCAAGCATACTTCATTAATAAATGGAATGAAGGAAAAAATTATTTATAAGATGTGCCCTAATTTGAATTGGTTTCTCTCCATGAGAAAACATGATCGCGAAAGAGTTGGATACGAAGGTCATCTGATTGAGCGAAGTCATACCACAATGTAGCTTTAATCTTAGATAGCTTCCCTAAACTTTTTCCAATGCAAGTGGACACGTGACTCGACACGTGCGTGTGAACATACAAACATATAAACGCATTTTATTTCATGGGTTACCTAATTCGAATGCGAATATAAATGTAGTCCTAACTGTTTATTATATCTGCGAAAATAAATGAAAAGTCGATATCACTGCCAAAACAACAAAAAACCAAAAGAAATAATATATGTAAATTATAATTTATGAATTCGACAGGTTCTCTTCTCATGTAGGAGTAAACACAAGGCAAACAATGCTATTTAATCTGAATTATAACGATGAATCTAATGCAGATCATTCTCACATAAGATGCTACGAACATCACCTGGGAGAGCACAAGCATCAACTATACTGCTACAAACATTACTAGTAATGCCACAAACATTATCTGAGATGTTACATGCATGACCTGTGATGCTACAAGCACTAGCTGGATACTTCATTCACCATTTTGGATACCTCAAGTAACTTTTTCCTATAGCCCTTCAAAGCATACACGGGGTACATGTGTGAGAATGAAAAATATTACTAACCTAATAGTAGCACGTTGGCATGTTTTTTTTTCTTCGATTGGAAAAATGCAAGTGTTGATTTGGTACGACACACCTTGTACCCGGCTGCCCAAATCGACTTTTGCTCGTATATTTGACTTTTTATTTTGACGTTATGACATGGTAACGCTGGATGTCCGTCCTCAAACAACCGTGACCCATGCTCTTCTGTAGAAAGACAATGATAGACGAAGTGAAAATTGAAATTATAATAATGATCTATATAAAGCTTTTCTTTTACTTTTATGCTATATTAACATTGGTGTTCCTTTTTTACGAAATATAATTCATGTAAAATTTTTGTTTTGCTTTTTCGCTGTCTCAACGTCAGTGTCCTTTTCATTTATAAATTATAATTTTCCAAATGAAACAAGCCGACTATAAGATCTCGTATGATTCTTAAAAGATCATATAGGAACATACTGTACAATCTTGCGTAATCTTACAAGATCGTACGAAAATCGTATACGATCTTGCACGTTTTCCTATGACAATTGTAAAGTCACCCTTTCAGATAAAATAGTAATATACGATTCTTGTATGATCTTTATGCCAGATAGTATAAGATCTTAAATGATTCTTATATGATTCTCCAGAGCTTCATAGAGCATATTGTATAACTGATTTGACCCATTATTCACTTCTATATGCTGGAAGTTTTCAAGATAATATTTGATCAATAGTAATGCGTATATTTATTAATTTATAAAAATTACAAAAAGAAAACAAAAAAAAGTTACAAATAGTCACTTGTAACACATCAGTGAAAAAAGAAAATTATAGAGAAAAAGAGCTTTTATCGAGTTTTTTAATCAGCTGAATGACCTAAATAAACAACAATAATTGCAATCAAGAAAAGATTTGCTTATATTATATACCTTATTGAGATGAGCTGAAATAAAAAGAAAATAAATATTTGGAATTAAATGAATTTTCACTTCTATGTAATTCAGTCGTAAAGCTGACCTAAAATGAAGAATTAAGTATAATTTCAATGAAGAAGAAACCTATTTCTAAATTAAATTGTCATGTATTATTGTAATTGTAAATAAGTAATTCTAATAACGTTGGTTTTACGTTAATTGAAATAAAATCAACAGATTGTCTTAAGATTAATTTCCTTTATGATGCTCTGATCGAGTGTCTTTCGATAGTATAACCAGATATCGACCTCCGCTTGCAATTGTGGAAAGCGCTTGAATTGTTACTTCTTGTTAATTATTCCTTGATCGAGTGTTCGTGAACGATATAATCAGCTACAGATCTTCCGTTTGAATTCTACAAAACATTTAAACAGTTTTCTTTTATGAACCATTCGCTGAACTCATGTGTCTCGATGATATAGTCTATTAAAACTTGTGCTTTAAATTGAAGAAACTATTAGAATTCTCGCTTGATATGAATCATTCATTGATAGTGTTGCTCCATGATAGAATCCACCACAAATCTGTGCTTCGGATTGAACAAAATATTTGTAGAGCTGTTTCCTATAAACTATTTGTTGTACGAGTGCTCCACTTTCTTATGGTCAACTAGAAACGTTTGGTTAGAAGTGAGCAAAATATCTGAATAATTGTTTGCTATGTATTATTCCTTGTTGGAGTCAGAGGTGCAGAATCTTCCAAAAAATAAAAAATCCTCCCCCGCGCGGAAATTTTCTCCAAAAATTTCCCCAAGCTGTTTTTTCTTCGCCACTAACAGACCAACTTTACTTGTCACAAAATATAAGTAAAAAAAACCATGACAATATTTTGTTCTGTTTGTTACTGTTCGTACAACATTGGAATTCTTTCTACTTGTTCTTTTCTCAAGCGGTTCAAAACAACTGAACCAGGTGAAACTTATTTGAATAGATGATGTTGTTCTGTTTTTTTTGAAGAAAATCCAGTGTTTGTCCTTCAGTTGAAAGAAGTAGTTGTTGAAGCAGGACTTGATGAATGGATCTGCTAGATGAAGCGGTGGTGCATTCCAATGTAACATTACTTCTTTGTCTAAGGATTCATGATCCAGAGCTCGATTGCCACGAATGTGTTGCTTCAGGATTGAGGCAGCACTCTCACAGACAGCTTCGCTTCTAATTTTAACAACCATCAGAGAATAGAAATGTAGAAACTGTTCAATACCATTCGCCAGATCTTTG